GGGGTGGGAGGGAGCTATTCTCCCGGAAGACCCAGTTTTACAGTGGTCCATAACTCCAATTTAAAGAGATAAGGTAACTCTCTTCTGGCCTCTGGACACTAAGGACACAAGACACTTGCACAATCAAAACACCTAAACATGTAAAAAGTATTTAAAATGTGCAGGAAGAGCCTGTGCGAACACAGGATGACTTTCAGAAGCTAGTTCTCCCCAGTGAGTTCTGGGAGGGTATTCAGGTTGTAAATTTCAGGGCTTGTGCAAGCACTTTGACCTGCTTAGACATCTCACAAGCCAATTAGATCTTTTGACGACTCAAAAGTAACAAGAAACTTGTTGAGGGCTACGAAACCACCTGAGGAATCCCTGTGTGTCCTATGACAAATATAAAGCACCCTGAAGCGGCTGAGACCAGCTCTGCACCAGGAGCTAACTGCAAAGTGATGAGGTATTCCACTGATAGGGCCATCAGCTGACTCCACTGACATTTATCAGGAAGCTGGGTGTGGTGCATGCTGAAGCAGAGCTATTGCCGGATTCCAGGACAGCCTGAAATAAGACACAGGCCCTGTTTCAAAATGCCAAATATATATATATATATATATATATAAACTTTACACTGGCCCTTTCATACTGAGGAACTAGAAAGTAGCCAGGTGTGATGGACACCTTTAGTCCCAGCACTCAGGAGGTAGAGACAGCTGAGTTCCAGGGCAACCAAGGCTTACATAGTGACAGCCTGCCTAAAATAAAATGCCACTATTGCCAGTAAGATGGTTCAGTAGAAAAAGGCACTTATTGCCAAATCTGACTACACTTTAAATGGTAGAACCCATTTCCAAATCTGACCTTCATGCACTGCAGCATGAACTGACACACACAAATATCTAAGTAAAAGCAATCTGACCACACAGGGAAAGTAAAGGCTGGGATGTAGCGCTGTGATAGAAGTCCTGCATCGCACACGGAAGGGAAAAGAAGTAGAGGTGGAGCTGGTCTGAACGCAAAGCCCTGCTATGAGACTCAGACTGTACTGGCCTAGTATGTCTTCGGGAGACCCCTAGAACCTGCATGTCTAATGAATAATTCCCAGGCAGTAGAGATTTGCTGCCAGCAGTTGAATTCATGTTTGCTTTCACCAGACTAACAAGGAAGAAAGGATGCAGCATCCCGCCACAGCCATTTCTCCCTGCCTTTAGAAGGGTTGGGCCAGTATGTGAGAGACCAGCTTTCAAATTCACAATAGCATGATATTAAAGTTAGAACTCCAATCTGAAAGTCAGGTCCAATGCTAGGCTCTTACCAGAGGGAGAAAAGGGGCCCCAGGAGCAAACAGGAAAGCTGGCAAATACATTCTTGACCAGCTTCTGACTGGGAATGCTCCTTCCAACAAGAGGCACCACGGGTATACTTGTGCTCTTGTGCACAAAAGGCTGGAGACAACTAAGGACATGAGCTATCAGGATGAGACAGGGCATCTAGAACAATGATTAAAGTGAAGACTATTTTGGTACAGCCCATAAACCTGAAAATATTTACAATGGGCACGGATTGAACCTTTGTAGATTTCTAGGAGGCCAGTCACTGTCAGAATGCACAGCAGGGGGAGGAGTGGACTTAGCTGCCCAATGCAGTCAGTAGTTCTAGCTATGTGCAAAGCTACGGCTACAAGAACCCTACAGATAGAGGGTCAGTAACAGCATAGACAGTGCCAGCACAGAAGCTCCCAAAGGCTCTGCCTGGTGCTTAAAAACGTCTCACTTCCTACCAAGATCTGTCTGTGCACGAGATACCACCCACAACACCCACTGAAAAAACCCCACCACATCTAGTTTTATAGGCATTTAATAGTTTACCAATTGGTACAATAAGATTTTTAATATGCAGAAAACATGAATAAATTTTGTTTTACACAGTCTGAGAGCAACAAATCTTACTGTAAAACACAAGAGCAATATTATATACATTCCTTTACTGATTTTTAAAATTGTGTCTATATCTTCAGTGAACTCTTACAATCTGGGGAACTGTTTTCTCCAATTACCACCTCTGCAACGTTCATACGGAATCATCGCTTGCCTTCATGTCAGTGTCAGGATTGACTTCTAACTCGTAGAGTTTGTGTTTATTTCTAAGGTCTTCAGAGTGACTTTGGGGGATGCCTGAAGGATAAGCAGGCAAGAAAGCAGCTACTTACATGATACAGTGGAAGGATAAAAAGGCCAGTTCCAGTTGTGACTTCTGAGTCCAGCTTACCCCACCCCACCCCACCCAGCCCACCGGAAAAACCCCAAAACCTTTCTTCCAATTTTGCCCATGTTGCTTGTCTACCAGGACATTCTTCTTCGCACCATCTAGATTAACCAACACATTGGGTTTATATACAGCTGGACAGTTAGAGTAACCATTTTAAGTGCCTTTTCCTTCTAGTTCAACTTCAGTTGCTTAAGGATTATCAAAAGCCACCACTGTCAACAAACAAAATGTCCTTATTTTTAAATAGTTTTTTTTTTTTAATTAAAAAAAATAAAAACAAACTTTAGTGAGTGGTATTATCTGGAAGTTCACATAGAAACAGAGGCAAACAGGAGACTGGGTTTGGTGAGCCTAGAGCCAAAGCTTCCGAAGAACTAATAGTGCGGAATGGCCCGAGACAGCTTGCTAGCACTAGTGACTGTGGGTAGTGCTCCCGGCGCACCATCGGTCACACCACACACACAGGGCGGTCTTAGTCTCCTAAAGGGCAAGAGGGCATGTCAAAAGCAACTACTCTCCAGGCCATGTCAGCTTGCACTCTCCATGCGGTTAGGACTTCTTGGGCACGCTGTGCTATAGGTGGCACTGGAATGTCTGTTTACACACAGTCAACAATCATCCAAGGACACAATTCTACCAGATTTTTATTTCTTCGTAAGTGGCCAATCTGACTCGAGAAAGTAACAAAGCAGCAGTGAACCGCTAACCAATGCATTAAGTCCTCTACTTAAACCCAGTAATTTATCATTGTCCTTATCCCAGGCAAGGCACAGGGTTAGAGAGCAGACAGAGAAAACAGTAACATAAGAGTAAGAGCATCAACAGGGCAGTGTCAAACAACAGTGCAAGAAACCTTCGCAAACCTGATGCCAGATGGAATGTTGCCCCCACCCTCCCTTCATTATTCAAACAGGGCTCATTTCGTTTGGATCCAGCTGTGGACCATCCCTGAGATTCAATGTTTGCTGCTGTGTAAGTGGAGGATGTCTGGTAGTTCAGCTAAGCAGCAGGCTGTGGCGATCTCCCAAGTAAGGACAGCTTTGTTACAGAGCACTCCCTCCTCCTTCGCCAGTGAGTCACTGCTGCAGGGGAGGACACCCAGGAACAGCAGCTTTGCTCCTCTACATTGGTACCATTCTTTATTGTTTCTATGAATGATGTACAGATGTTGTGGCTTACCCTGAACAATTCATGTTGCTATACGCTAAAACTGAATTAAAAGACAAGACATTTTAACACATACAAACGAATGTTAAGATGCACCATTTCTATGTACTTATATTCTTGAAAAAGGACAGAAAATAGCAGCAAATGAGAACAAAGATATTTTCAATAGCTTTTCGAGATAAGTCCAGCCAGAACAACTAGAGGGAAAGCAGGAGAGCTGTGAGGCAACGCTGTCCTGAGAGCTAACCTACAGTGTTTACGGAATCATGACGGAGTTTTGTCCTCAAATAACAGCCATAGCCATTTAGTTCTCAGAACACTTCTCCTTTCTAGAGACCTCTCTAAGGAATATTAAGAACAAACAAGTGAACAAACAATAGGACACAAGCTAGATTTAAGCTGCTTCTAGTGGCCTAATCTCGTGTATATCTACAGGACATTAATTCTCATCCTTTGTCATTTCAGGAATCAAATTTCCTTTCAATACTTAAGGGGACAATTAAAAAATCATATATTACACAAACGAATAAAATGCAGTTCAGAAAAAATTGTTAAAACTGTCATTGTTATTTCATTGTTTCTGTTAACTTTTCAAATTGATTTTCTTAAAAAGAAAAAAGTTGGTTAGCTAGGCAATAGATTTATTAATAATTGACATAGGAACAGTGTTCCATAGTCATGGGCAAAATCTCTTAAAACTATTGTAGTAACTTTGGATCAAAATGTACAACATATATCAAGGATGTGTAAAATGGTGAATGGCCACATTAAAGAGAATAAAGGAAGTGACTTTCTTTTAGCTTAGGAAAGCCCTGCAGAGTCAAAAGCATCGGGAGAGTTTATCCAAAAGCATGGCTGTGGTTGAAATTCCCCAGCAAGATTTACTCTGTTTTAGCACTTCTTCAAGAACTCAAGACCCAACAACATGGAGGTTGTATGTGTGTGATATACATATATAGACATATCCACTTGGAGATAGGCCCATATACTTATAAACATTTACATATAAACAAAAGATGAAAAAAACTCAGTGTAGTTCTATGCACGCTTCATTAAACCCTGTCACTTTTTATAACTTGTAAGTGAAACAGTTCGAATGGTTACCAGGTTCATGTTGGAAACTGCTGTTTCTCCCACTCCTTCAAAATGCGCACGCGACAGTTGTCAGCATTTGTCATTCTAAAATGCACATTGCACATCCCGGAAAACATCATAAACACATAGTGATTTGTACCACGACACTCAGTGGGAAGGTCAAATTCTACTGGGGAGTCACGTCACTACACAGTCCAGCAGTATGGAGAATACAACTTGTATGCCTAGTGTGGAAGAGAAGCTTAGAGTAGGACAGTGTTTCCAGACCTGTTTACAAAGCAGTAAGACCCAAATGAAAAACGATTCACCATTAGCTGCTGAGATTTTTCTTGAGATTACGATCATTTTCTTACATAAATATACCACTAGCCTTTGCTTGATAGGCTGCCAAAACAAACATATCCTATTGATTTGGCAAAGGGGTCATGACAAAAACTTCAATATGTAATCCCCATTAATTACAGAGATGGAGCAAAGATTCTGAATTGTAGTCTTATTATCTAACACCCTTAAAGATTTATTAAGCACACTTAAGTGATGTTACATAGATACACATTTCAGAAAAGCCCTAATAACCACCACTTTTCCCCAAAAATGAGGCCATCAAGTCAGGCACCAACAGATAGCAGGAAGAAAAGCAATAATTAATAATCCAACATAAAATGACACTGTCAACTATTCAGTTTAGTGCCCTAGTTCAATTTATTCAACTTCTGCCCTTGTAGGCCTGGTGTGACCAATGCCAGCCCAGGTTTTTAAACCCTATGGTACTTCTAGACAACATATGTAAATTTACAGTATACAATTTGGATTCACCATGCATGAATACTTTGTGTGTAACATTTAATAAGCTCAATCTACATCCAGAATAATTTACATGAAAGGACAATATTTATTTAAACAGAGCTCAAATGGGGTAACCATGGTATCATCAGAGTGCATCCAGAGGAAAAAGGGGGAAGAACCAAATGCGACTCAATCAACGGCACTCCCACACCTTCACTGTTTGATCTACACTGCCAGTAACCACATAGGGTGCCGTCTTGTGGAAATCTGAAAGAGAAAAGAAAAGGCTGGTTTTCAAACCATACTAACTAACCCAGATAGTTGGGGTTTTTTGTTTTGTTTTTGTTATTTATTTATTTATTTTTTTAATATAAGAAAGCCTTGAATTTGATTTCCTTCAGTTCAGCTTCCTGAGCTCTGGGATTCTATGAGCATGTACCTCTGCTCCATGATTTTCTTTAGAAATTACTGATCTTAGCAACTAGGTTAGGGAAGTTAAAACTCAACTAAAGCCCACTTGATGTCACAAGTACCATTGCAAACGATGTTCCAACCTACTAACAAGGGCACATTTGGCATATCCACTTACTGAACACTATGTTTCAGGCTTAGTAGTAAGGCTTTCCATAGACAACTAATCCTCACAACACTCCATCCTAACTTACCAAGGGCTTTAGTGTCAGTGTCACCATAAGGTCCACCCATCTTACTCAAATATATTACAACTTACTGAATTCACAAAGTGAATTCCAGATGATACTGAGGACATGATAATTTTACAAAATTCCTAATACATAGTACACAGTGGCATATGCTAGTAAAAGGAAAGTCCTTTTTTGTTCTTTTTAAACAATAGAGTCCTGCCATATAACCCTTCCTATGTAAAGCAGGCTGGCCTCAAATTTGGGACATGATCATGCCATCTCTGCTACCTAAATGCTAGAATGTGTCACCATGTCTGGGGATGTTTTGTCTGTGTGTGTGTCTGTATGCACACACATACTGTCTCAAGACAACTCTCAGAAGCCAGTTCTCTCTTGTCATCATTTGAGATGTGGAGATTAAACACAGGTTTTCAGGCCTGAAGGTACCTCTACTTGCTGAACCATCTTGCCATATTGTTAGCGCTATTTGTGTGTGTGTGTGCGTGTGTGTGTGTGTGTATGTGTGTGTGTGTGTGTGTGTGTTTCTTCCTTGAAACAAGCTCTTGGTATTGTTTGTTCTTCTTCTGCAGTTGGGAATTAAAACTAACATCTTAGTCAAGTTATGCTGTTATACCATTGAGCACATCCACAGCGCTTAAGACAGTGGTTCTTAAGCTTCCTAATATTGTGACCCTTTAATACAGCTCTTCATGTTGTGGTGACCCCCCACCATAAAATCACTTCACTGCTACTCCGTAACTGTAATTTTGCTACTTATAATTCATCATATAAAAATCTGTTATGCAACCCCAAAGCTGTGTCAACCTACAGGTTGAGAACTTAAGATTTCTTTTGATAATGCAGAACAGAGAAAACAGTATTTTTATTATAAGCTTAATTCTAGAAAGGAAAGTTTAAAGCCACTGGTAGGAACCCACAAGGTTGAAATAGACCTTTTCTATTTTACCTTAAAAGAACTTGGTCATTTCTTACCTGGAGAAGTCCACAAGGTACATACAACTGTTACATCCGGCACTCCAAAATTCAAATTTTCAGAACCCTCCCAATGTGTACATACCCAAGGAGGTAACAAAGTGTTCATGCGCATTGAGGGTCTTCATGCATCGCTTGTTCTTGTAATCCCATACACGAAGAGTCTTGTCATCAGCACAACTCAAAATGAACTTCCCCCCAGAATGGAACAGAACTCCACGTACCCAATTATCATGACCCACCTTCAAGACAAAAAGGATTTGACTTACTTAAGCAACACATGGGAAATAATACATTTTAACACTGAAACCATTTCTACCAGTGCTCTTTTCTTTTTTCTTAACAAGGTCTGGTATAGCCCAGGAAAACCTTGAACTTCGATCCTTGTGCCCCACCTGCCAAGTGCTGGGATTACAGGTATGTGCCACCATATCCAATTTCTGTGGCTCTGGGAACTAAAGCCCAGGGCATGTAGACACCTATTCTACCGAGTGAGGTACATTTCCAGACAATCCCTACCTTAAACAAGGTCCACATAGCTCAGAGATGCCTAAACTCACTGACCTTGAAATGATCCCCCTTGATTCCACCTCAAGTGCCAGAATCATGCTACCATGCTATCATGCCTGGTCTCTTCTGGGGTTCTGTGCATGCTATGCTAGGCAGGCATTCTACCAACTGGGTATACTCTTAAGACACACTAGTATCTTCATTAATATTTTTAAAAATTATTATGTGAGCCAGGTGTAGTAGCGTAATGCCTGTAATCCCAGCACTTGGGCAGTAAGAGGCAGGAGGATCTCTGTGAGTTCTAGTCCAGCTTGGTCTACAAAGTGACTCCAGAACAGCCAAGGCTACACAAGAGAAACCCTATCTCAAAAAACCAAAAAAATCAAAATCAAAAGAAACCCAACAACAGGGGGCTGGAGAGATGGCTCAGTGGTTAGAACACTGTCTGCTCTTCCAAAGGACCTGGGTTCAATTCCCAGCACCCACATGGCAGCTTGCAACAATCTGTAACCTTAATTCCAAGAGATCTGACACCTTCACACTAATGCACATAAAATGAAATAAATTATAAAAACAAACAACAAAGCCAAACTTATTATGTGTGTGGGTGTTTTGCCTGTATGTATACCTGTGCCAAAACGTTGAATACAGTGCCCTCAGAGGCCAAAAGAGCAAACTGGATCCCCTGGAAATGGAGTTATACATGGCTGTAAGCTGTCATGGGGGTGCTAGAAACACAGATGCTCTGGAAGAACTGTTAACTAAAATTAAAAACTGAGAAGCCCAATAGATGACTGAGCAATTAAGAGCATCAAGAGCCAGGAGATTGTCGCTAACTTTAATCCTAGCACTCGGAAGGCAGAGGCAGGTACCCTAATCTATAGAGCGAGTTCTAGGGGTACATAGAGAAACCATGAAAACAAAAAGCAAGGAGCTGTTGAAATGACCGAGCAGTTAAGAGTGTGTACTGGATCACAGTCTGGTTCCCCAGAACCCATGCCAATAGCTCACAACTGTCTTGTAACTCCTGCTTCAGGAGGATCCTACAAAGAACTGACAAACACATCTGCATACACACATGAAGGAATAAACAAGTACATAATAAAAAGACACACAATAAAAGAAAAAAAATGAATGAAGCATGGTAGTGCACACTCAGCACTTGGAAAGCAGGGGCAGTTGAACCAATCTCTGAGTTTGTGGCCAAGTAGGTCTATACTGTAGGTTGCTTACACTACATCTTAGCCAGGATTATGTTATAAAACCCTGTTTCCAAAACAAAACAAACCAACTAAAAAGCAGAACAACAAACCCCACTATTTTTGAGGCTACCCCAAAATAAAGCAGGAAAAAGTGTCTCACTAGTCCCAAAGTGAGAAGCAGAAACCTAGGAAAACTGGTGACCTTGCAATTACAGACAGAAAAACACGCAGATTTTAAATATAAGATTCACTTTTCTAACATAGTACAAATGAATCTAGAACAAAACCGTTTTTCTGAAATAGGGTCTGGACTATGGAGTCCTGGCCAACCTGGAATTCTACATAAACCACACTATCCTCAAACTAACAGACTTCCTTCTAACTCTACCTCTTGGGTGCTGGAAATTTCTTTTATCTTTTTTTCTCTGTGAAGCGCTGGGCTGTGCTGGAACTCACCTTGTAGACCAGGCTGGCCTTGAACTCAAAGAGATCTGCCTGCTCTGCTGGTCCTTCTTATCTTTTAAATTAGTTTACAGTGATGGGTTTTCTGTCAGCCCTGTTATACGCATTGGTTTTAGTTGATCCTGTCCTTCTCCACCCCTCTCCCCACTGTGACCTTCTGCTTCCAGTATTCTCTTCTCTTCTCACCGATCCTTAAGAATACTTTACTTAACATGTTGATAATATCCTATAAATAGATGTGGTCAGCACTTAAACAAATTTTTAAACATGAATGTTATAAGGCTTGCTGTTAGGTTAGCAATATCCATGTGGAGCTCCTTAAGCAAACCAGAATGTCCAATAACCAGCTCCCAATCTCCAATGCTGCTACAATTACTTAAATACCTTTAACTCATTAATTTCACAATAGGAATAGAATAATTAATTTCACAATAGGCAAACAAACCAAATAAGGTAGATGTCAATAAAGAGATGATAGCTGAAAGAAGTAAAGGAGTCTGGAGAGATGGCTCAGTGGATAAGAGCACTGGCTGCTCTTACAGAAGACCTGGCTCAGTTCTCACTACCCATGTGGCAGCTCACAACTGTCTGTAACTCCAACCAGTTCTAGAGGATCTGACACCATTACACAGATACACATACTGGCAAAATACCAATACATATAAAGTAAATAAATAAAAATTAAAAAAAAATAAACAAGTCTGTAAGAGCATCCTTTCTCCTCCACAGTAGGTACTATCCAGTGAGCTAAGACCCTCCCCCCAGCACTAACTGGCTTTATAGATTTATTTTATATAACACTGATTTCCATTATCACTGTAACTGTATAATTAAAAAGCTGTAATGAAATTTATAGATGTATACAGTTATTTTAAAGTCCCAGAATTGAGATTTAATAAGAAAGCACAGAGTACCTAAAAATCTAAAAAGTTAAAACTACAATGAAGATGCAAAAAAAGTAATAATATGCAAACTTACAAGAGTCATAAGGCACATGCCAGTACTGACGTCCCACATCTTAATAGTTTTGTCTCTGGAACCAGATAGCAAGAAGGGTCCAGGCTTGCCACTTTTTTTAGTCTATGGAAAACATAAAAATTATTTTTCTATGCAAAACAATAAAGACTTAAACAACTTCTCTAAAATAATGACATCTATTCCAGAGTCTTGAAAAAAAGGTTGTTTTCATCTATTTAAATACACAACTGTACCTGGCCCACAAAAAAAGATAGGCCCTACCTAGATAACAGTATTAATTATAATTGTACTGTCCAAGACTTCTGCAATCAGGGTTAGGTATATAAAGCTAAGTGGCAGAGTTCTCTACTAGCATGAAAAAGGCTTGGTATCAAGTCTATGATCAAAAAAAGATTTTTAAACCACTATTTTTTTTCTATAAAGTTAACATCAAAAATAATATATACTGTATGTAACAACCACCAGAGGGTAGTATTAAGAATTTTATTTAGAATTTGTAATGAAGAGATCACAAATAGAAGATTAATGTAGAGCCAGATGTTGTGTCATACTTCTTTGATACCAATATTCTGGAGGTAGAGGCAGCCAGCTCTCTGTAAGTTCAAGGCCAGCCTGGTCTAGCATATCCACAGCTACATGAGACCCTACCAGATAGATAGATAGATAGATAGATAGATAGATAGATAGATAGATAGATAAAATTTTAAATTTATTTAGATAAATAAAAATGTAGGGTTTGGTTGGTTGGTTTTAAATTTTTCCATTTGTTTTTTTTTTTTTTTGGGGGGGGTGTTATATATATTTTTTTACTTTGCTCTGTTTTTGTTTGTTTCTGAGACAGGGTTCCCTAAGTGCTGAGACACCTGTATTTAAACTATCAATTCTCTCTTTAGGAGATGATCTCCAACATAAATCATGGGTGAGCTATTTGTTTATCTATTTGTGTATGGACACAACTCATGTCATCGCATGCTGGTAGAGATCTGAGGACAACCTGAGGGGGGACAACCTCCTGTAATGCGGTTCAGGGATCAAACTGGGGTCACTAAGCTTGATGGTCAGTACCTTTATCTGCTCAACAATCTTACTGCCCCAATAAGAACTAGTTCAAAAATGTAAACACCACTGACAACCAGAAAGAGGAAAAAACCCTCAAAATTCAGACTTCTAGGCTACAGTCTTAAGGGCATCAACAGACTCTGACTAAGAATCAGACAAGTTACCTGTCCTATAACACAGTAACAAAAATCATATAAAGACACGTAATCACACAGTACCTCAGATCCTGTTGCTTCAGAGATGGAAGAATATGAACTTTCTGGAGCCCAGGAAATGCATTCTACCACGTGTTCGTGTTCTCGGAGCTCAGCCTTGCATTCCTTTGTTGCTACAACCCATACACGCACAGTCTGGTCATTGGAACAGCTGGCTATCAGAGTGCCATCCTGATTTGGCCGCACCATACGTACCCATTCTCTGTGTCCTGTGAATGTCTTCACACAGTAGCTGTCAATTTAAAGAATAATGTACATTGTGAATAAATGATAATTATTAGAAAACTTTCCAGAAGTGATACAAAATTAGTTAGGACTCAAGATGAAGATAAAAGCATTAGAGAAATTATATAGCACATCAACAAAAAAAATAAAATAAAATCTTGGTTAATAAAAACTGGGCACCAGCCAGAAGTTAGACAACACTAGCTAAAAGAAGCTAACAGGAAATACCAACAAAATATGGAATTTAAGTAAAACATCTAAAAAAGGAATAGAAAAATGTTCAAAACTAAACACATACAATAAAACCTAAAAACCTCAAGTCTAACAAAGGTATACCAGCATAAACATTACTCAAATTCTTAGAAAAAAAAATTTTTTTAAATTATTTTGTTTTATTTACATTGGTGTTCTGCCTCTATGTATGTCTGTGTGAGGGTGTCAGATCCCCTGGAACTAGAATTACAAACAGCTGTGAGCTGCCAAGTGGGTGCGGGGATTTGAACCTGGGTCTTTGGAAGAGCAGCCAGTGTTAACTGTTGAGCCATCTCTCCAGCCTCTAAATACTAATTTAAACCCAGAGAGAGAAGAAAAGGAAAACAAAACAAGACAAACCACAGAGAAAATATAAAGCTGACATCACAAAAGAACTCACTTTCAAGAATCTTTTGAGGGAGGGAAGGTGGAATTGGGAAGGGAGGAGGGAGGGAGCTATAGGTGTGAAACTAAATAAAATGCAATTAACAAAAATATCAATAAAAAAGGGAAAAGGGAAAAATCCTTCTTACGGTACATCTGGGTTTCTTTTAGAGAGGAAGTGTGTGTGGACAGATCATTAATCTGTGCTGCAGATGAGCGCTAGTGCCCTGTAAAGCAAGCGCTCTACCACTATGCTCCACTTCCAGTCTCGAGCATGTATTAGAAACTGGCATGATGGTCATTCTAGACTTAAGATAAAATTACTAAACACTTAGAAAACATTTTGGTGTTTTGTTTTTACAATCCTTTTGGCTGATGCTTTCCAACTAAATCTACTTACCCAGTTTGCACTTCCCACATTTTTATAGTTTTATCCCTTGAGGCAGATACTATATGATCTCCATTAGGCATGATGGCTACTGAAGAGACATTGTGGTCGTGGCCTAAAACACACAATACAGCAAAGTATTCAACAGTTTACTGTGAGGTTTTACTATGGTTTTAAAAAAACTACAGAAAGTACTCTTACACCCGGCTTTATGCAAACCTGACAAGACTATTAAAAAGTAGTAAGGGAAAGAGGTAAGAATGGAAAGGGCAAAATTTGGCCTTCTGTCTTAGACCTTAAAAACTGGGATCATGTGGCTAGAGAGATAGCTCAGTGGAAGAACACTGGCTGTTCTTCCAAAAGTCCTGAGTTCAATTCCCAGCACCCACACGGTGACTCATAACCATTTCTAGTGGGACCCGGTGCTCTCTTCTGGTGTGTAGGCACACATGCAGGCAGAATACTGTATAAATAATAAATAAATCTTTAAAAAAAAAAATTGGGATCATAAGTATGTGCCACCCTGCTTAGCAAAACTCTTTATGAGATAGGACCTTGTGTATCCCAGGTTGACTTCAAACTTGCTATGTAGCCAAAGAAATCTTGAATTTTGACCCTTCTGTATCTTCTTTCCTGCCCCTGGGGTTTCTCTGTGTAGCCTTGACTGTCCCGGAATTCACACTGTAGACCAGGCTGGCATGAATTCACAAAGATCCACCTGCTTCTGCCTCCCAAGTGCTGGAATTAAAGGTGTGCCCCACCATGGCCTGCCTCTTGTTTCTACTTTTGTGTAATAAAATTACAAGGATGTACTAACAATTGGGATCCGACTAGTCCTACAAGTACAAACTCTTTTAAGTGACAGCAGTAAGATACCGGCAACGTACAGACAGAATTTCAGAAAATATATTTACAAAAGCAACTGTCAAAATTCCTTTAGTAGAAGTAATTGCTGTAATGCATTTAAATAGGTGGAAAAACACAAATTTCAATCACACACTCTATACCTCCAGATAATCTTTTTGTTTTACTTTCTTCTTTTCTGCCCCCCTCCCCTTGGCTGTTCTGGACTCACTTTGTAGACCAGGCTGGCCTGGTGGTCCACTCTGCCTCCTGAGTCCTGGGACTAAAGGTGTGTACCAGCACCACCAGGCTTGCTTTGTTTTCTTAAGATCACTGTATTGTGCAGTCCAGTTGGCCTGGAACTTGCTTTGTAGTGAAGGCCAGCATTAAGGACTTCATCCTCCCATGAAGGGCTCCTACCTGCTAGGATTATGCACAGATACCAATACACCTGGCTTATTTTAAAATCACTAACACAGCATTTGGTCTTACACATTATCTAAACAACACACACACACACTCCATTATCTTTAAAGAAAACAAAGCCAGGTGTGAAGGTACACAATTCTGATCTCAGCACTTTAGGGCGGAAGAAGAAAGCAGATCCTTTAAGAATTCAGGCCAGCCAAGGCTACATTGTAAGACCCTGTCCCCAAAACCTAAAAACAACAGAAGTCAGTATTTCACATATATACATATGATTTAAGTATGATTCATTTTATCTTTACAATTCTATGACATAGGTATTATCCCCCTTTATTTTCCAGATAAAATAACCTATGGACACTTAAAGAGGGAGCAAGGGACTCTGGCTTTTAGCTTTCATATAGCCTGCTTTCTTGATGAAAAACAAAAGACAAAGAACCAACAACTTTTTTCTCTTGGACTAGTCTGACCTGGCAATTTTTCTTATCTAAATACACTTGTCAATACAAATTAGTATTTCATGTAAACCTTAAAAATCCTTCGGACAAAAACCTCTACCATCAAAGCTTGTCCATCAATGCAGACAACTAATAATTAAATATAGGGTACCTATATATGATTAGCAAACGGTTTCTTCTCTCAAGTGCTCTGCCTGAGATTAAAGTGCTATCCTTTACCCCTTACCGTGCATGGTTCTGATGCATTCAAAACCCTGAAAATCCCATAGTTTAATCGTCATATCTGCGGAACAGGAAGCCAGAAGCTTGCCACTGTGGTCAAAGGAAATGTCCTGTACAGAGTCTGTATGCCCCTTAAGAGTTCGTTCAAAATCTCCAGTCTCATAATCCCACACCTGTCAAGTGAATAGAAAAATGGTTAACACCACTTCCTCATTTCACATTTACACTTAGCAGCTCAGTCTAGCACCTTACTGACTAATTAACAAATAACAATCTTTTAGAAATATCAAAGTTTCAAGCAAACTGGCCTTTTTCTACAGAGAAAATTGAGGCTCCAATTATCCAAGTAGAATTCCAGAATTACACCTGTTAAGGATCTACCACTTAATTATGCCAATGAGAAGGTACAGAAACTCAAAGTATACTAGTCTTACAGTATGCAGTAGGCATAAATAAGGAAATTAAAGTGCAAAAAGATGTGTTTGGGCATTTGTACGTACAACAGTGAGCTGCTTTAAGTCCTCAGGTCTGCTAGAACAGTAGGGCTCACATATTTAGGGACTAAGGAGAAATCATAAACTACAAACTATTCCTGAATCAAGTGTTCATGATTAAAAGAACATCCCTCTCCCTCCTCGAGCCCCAACTGGGATTCTCTGTGTAGCCTTGGCTATCCTGGAACTCAATTTGAAGACAAATGAAGCTGGCCCGGAATTTAGAAATCAAACTGCCTCCACCTACCAAGGCTGGGATTAAAGGCATTAGTTTGCCATCAAACTCAGGTTTTTAAAAATCTCATTTTTAAAAAGTAATTTTTCTAAAACAGAAATTTGAGTTACCAAGAAACAGTACTACAGATATCACTCAAGAACAATCTTTGTTCTAGTGGCCAAATTGTAGTCTAATTGGAAAAAAAAAAAAAAAAAGATTCTAGCACTTGCTTCACAAGCAACAAGTCCTAGGTTCAATTCATTCTCCAGCAACTTAAGAAAACAAAACATTAAAAATCCAAACAAGGGCAACACCCACAAATACCAAACAAACAAACAAACAAACAAACAAACAAAAAAAAAAAAACACAAGACCAAAACTGAATAGTCAATCCCCAGTCAAAATTCAAGCATTTAGGTCCATTCTAACTACAGTGAGCACAAATTTAAATGTCATACGGTGTGCACCCACCCACACATACACACACACACACTTTGAGGAAATAGGCAATATTAACAAAAATTTAGGGTTGGTGCAATACATTAAAAAATAATTTATTTTATGCGCATAAGCATTTTGCCTGAATGTATGTATGTGTACCACATTCATGCCTGGTGCTCTCTGAGACAGGGCACTGTATCCTGTGGATCTGGAATTACAAATGGTTATGAGCCACCATATGGGAGCTGGGAAGCAAACATGGATCCCCTGCAAGAACAGCATGTGCTCTTAACCTCTGAGCCCACATTTTTTTAAAGATTACTTATTATGTATAGTGTTCTGCCTTCACATACACCTGCACACCAAAAGACAGCACCAGACCTCACTATAGAGGATTTGTGAGCCACCATCTGGTTGCTGGGAATTGAACTCAGGACCTTTGGAAGAGCAGCCAGTGCTCTTAACCTCTGAGCCATCTCTCCAGTACAGCCTACATTTAAAAACTTAATCTAAATAGTATAAGACTGAGAAGCAAATATAAAAACTGTACTTATGCGCACAGCTTAACCCCAGCACCTGGGGTGTTTGAAGCCAGTCTTAAATTTAAATACCAAAATCAATTAAGTCTCCTACATTCATTAAACAACAATAAAATAATTCTCCCATTCCTTGCTTTTCCTTTTTCTCCTCCCTACATCCCCCTATTTTGTGGGGGAACAATTAAATACAGGGTCTCAAGAATGCTAGGTCAGGTGCTGTACCACTGAGCTCTAGCTGTCCAGGAACTTCCTTTGTACACTAGGCTGTCCTTGAACTCAGATCAGTCTGCCTCTGCTTCCCAATTGCTGAGATTAAAGGTTTGCACCACTGTATCCAAACCCTTTGCTTTTTGTTTAAAAGCACTGTCCCGGGAAGCTGGAGAGATGGCTCGGAGGTTAAGAGCACTGTCTGTTCTTCCAAAAGTCCTGAGTTCAATTCCCAGCAACCACATGGTAGCTCACAGCCACCTATAAGGAGATCTGGTGCATAATGAGATCTTGTGTATACATAATAAAATAAATAAATAAATCTTTGGGGGGGGGGGAGAAGCACTGTTGAGGGGGGGCAGTGATTAAGAACACTGTCTGCTCTTCCAGAGGACCTGGGTTCGCTTCCCAGGACCCACATGGCAGCTCACAACTGTCTTAACTCCAATTCCAGGTGATCTGACTCCCTTACACTAATGCAATTAAAAAAAAAAAACAAAACAAAACACTGTCCCAAAAAATTGCCCAGGCTGGCCCTGAACTTGACTCATAGCCCACAATGACCTTAAAATTCTCTTGGCTCAGCATCTCAAGCAGCTGAAAATTCAGGCTACAAACCACACAGTATTACTCAGAGAAGTGGTTCTCAACTTTCCTAATGTTGTGACCCTTTAATACAATATCTCATGTTGTGATGTTGTGGTGACCCACAACCACAAAAATTATTTTTCTTACTACTCTGTAACTGTAGTTTTGCTGTTATGACTTGTAGCATAAATACTTGATTTGCAGGGTATCTGATAAATGACTCCTGTGAAAGGATTGCTCCACTTCCTAAAGGGTCATGACTAATAGGTTGAGAACCCTTGGGTTAGAGCAATTTTTGAAGCATACCCTGAAATAAGCTGGGCAGTAGTGGCACACACCTTTAATCCCAGCACTCAGGGAGGCAGAAGCAGGCAGATCTCTATGAGTTCAAGGCCAGCCTCGTCTACAAAGAAAGTTCCAGGACAGCCAGAACTACACAGAGAAACCCTGTCTTGAAAAATGAAAACAAACAAATAAAAATAAGAACATACTCTGAAATAAAAACTTTTGGGGGCTATAAAGATGACTCAGAGGTTAAGAGCACTGGCTGTTCTTTTGGAAGATGCTCAATTCCCAGCACTGACATGGTTACTCACAACTGTATATACTCCAGTTCCAGGGGATCCAGCATCCTCTTCTGGCTTCCATGGGTACCAGGCATACAAATGGTGTGTATACACACACACACACACACACTCACCAAAGAGAGGAAAAATAACCATATATAAAATAAAGTACAAAACAAAAAACCTTGTCTTTTCACAATCGTGAATAAAATTATAATGTACTACTATCAAAATAATCAGAATATGCCTAACCTACCAATGGATGTGGCTTTTACTTCCGCCCCTGTTTTCTAAATCACAGAGACTATGACTGTTATGGCAGTCTCCCCTTAACTCATCAGTGACACATTTCCAAGACCGCAAGTGAAGCCTAAAAACTACAGATAGCATCAAAACATATATACCAGATTTTTCTATATATACATACTTATGAACTGGTATTACAAATTAGACAAAGCAACATTTTAATAATAACTAGTATTAAAATAAGAGTCATGATAAGGCACTGTAATAAACACGTCAATGTGCTCTCTCACAAAATATCCTACTATACTGGTATTCTTGACTGTAGTTACCTCAGGGAATTAAAACTATGAAAAGCAAATAAAAGAACTTAATAATTTTATTATCACATCTTTCTGCCTTTGGGGGGAGGAATTCAAGATAGGGTTTCTCTGTGTAGACTTGTCCTGGAACTTGCTCTGTAGATTAGGCTAGCCTTGAACTGAGAGATCTGCCTGCCTTTGCCACCCACGTGCTGGGATTAAAGGTATGTTCCACAACAACCTAGCTATCTTTCTGCTTCTTAACCAAGTATTTTCCATGTCACTAAAAATTTAACCAGGGCTGAGCTGGGTGATGATTGCCTTTAATCCCAGCAGAGGCAGCTGGATCTCTGTGAGTTACAGAGAGCCAGGGCTACATGGCTTACATGTCTGAGGGAAGAAAAAAGAAAAGAAACCAGGGGATGATGAGATGCACATAGAGTAAAAGCACTTGCCATGATGCCTGATGCCCAGAGTTCAATTCTGGAACCCACATGGTCCAAGGAAAGAATAAACTTCTGCAAGCTGTCTTTTCATCTTTACCTTTATGTCACAGCACACACACACACATCCACACAAACATATACACACACTACAAAACCCAAGACTGCTTCTTCTTCCCTAAGAAAAAATATAAAATTTTAAAGTCCTTCATGTAGTCTATTAAATTACTGTTTGAAATGTAGTAAGAATGCATACTTTCATCATCACTGGAAATACTTGTTTAAAAGGTAAAATTATACGTGTAATTTTAATTTATATTTTTCTTACATTAGTAGTGAGGTCAAAACTATTAAAATTATTTTAACCTTAGTTACCCGCAGTTCTCAGCTGTACCCTCTGAGTTCTGAGACTACAGATATGCGCCACCACACTAGCAAAGTCCCTGGATTTGATCCCCAGCCCAATTCCTCCTTGAAAAACTACTACTACAAACTACTCTGAATATCATCTATCAGTTTCCCTCAATTATTGCAGCTCAGTGTGGGGAGAGGAGAGGCTGGAGATAATGGCTCAGAGAACACTTGCTGGGGGCTGGAGAGATGGCTCAGAAGTTAAGAGCACTGTATGCTCTTCCAAAGGTCCTGAGTTCAATTCCCAGCAACCACATGGAGGCTCAAAACCATCTATAATGAGATCTGGTGCCCTCTTCTGGCCTGCAGGTGTTACATGCAGAAAGAACATTGTATACATAGAAAATAAAAAAAATTAAAAAAAAAAAAAAAGAACACTTGCTGTTCTACCAAAGGACCCGAATTCAGTTTCCAGCACCCAAGATTTGTAGATTACAAATTCCTGCAACTCCATTCAGCAGACCACAAACCCTCTTCTGCGATCCATAGGCAGGTGTATGCACACACCAATACAGATATTTTTTTAATTAGTGTGTGTATGCACATGTGTGCACCTTTATCCACTGAGCCTCCAGGATCACATAAAGAATATGTAACACATCAGGTATGGTGATGCACAGCTTTAATCCCAGCACCAGGGAGGCAGAGGCAGGAGGATTCCTTAACATAGCGGCCACCTCAGTCTACATAGTTGAGTTTCAGGACAGCCAGGACTATGTAGAGAAAACCCTATCTCAAAAAAAAAAAAAAAAAAAAAAAAAAAGAATGAAACAAAATAAAGAAGACTATGTAAAGCATACTCAACTGAAGAAATGGTGACAAAGACATGCCTGCATCTTAGGCAGGACTACTGTTGCTATGTGATACACACAATGACATTTTCATAAACCTTTACAAATAAACAATATTGGTTTTCATATAAAATAAGCCTTAGAACAAGAAAGCCACCTATATTTTATTTTTCTATCTTTTTATGTATGGTTACACAACTGTCATTTTATTATAAGTATATTAAAGTAATTACTTTAGACTAAAGTTCTTTGGGGGATGGCTTCACAAACTAGTATTTTCTTATTCCCTGGTTAAAAATGAGAAACAAATTTCTCATTCTCCAAGGACAGAAACTATTAAAGGAAAAGATGACCTACTACCCAACTAAATTAAAAACACTCCATATTTTCTCAAATATATCAATTACTTATTGGCAAAATGCCTTTCTGAGTTATAATGCAGTTAAGTCTGCCATAACGGTTTAGTACCAAATCACTCAATACAGTTTGAAAAGACACCTGTCACTGAGTTTGAGTCCTGGGACCCATGTGGTAGAAGGAAGAAAAACTCTCATAAATTCTTCTTTGGCAATCACACATGCCATGGCAGGTATGGATACATATATATATACAGACAGACACAGACACAGACACACAGACACACAGACACACACACACACACACACACACACACACTCCAAACTCAGAGCTGCCCTGTGTTCTTTTGTTTCGGTCCCTTTTTTCAAAATCTTTTCTTTCTTTGACCTAACTTACATCAAGTCTACCCTATTTGCCTTACTTGGGTATGGGGACACACAACTTTAATCACAGCACTCAGGAGGCAGAATCAGGAGGATTTCTGTAAGTTTAAGGCTAGTCTGACAGCAAAAACTACAAAGAGAAGAGATCCTGTCTCTCAAAAACAAAACAGAACAACACAAAAATACCAAAAAGCAAAATGAACAAGAACAACTTGCCTTAATTGTAGCATCCTCTGAAGCAGAGACCATAACACTGAACACAGGATGGAAAATGACTCGAGTGACTGGACTCCTATGACCACTCAAAGCGTACTTCTCTGGTGGACGGGGAATCCATTCTTTTGGGTCTCGCTTCTGACCAAGAGGACCACCCGACGTAAATTCTTCTTTTGCTTCATTTAGTTTTGATTCTAATTCCATAACCTTGGATGAGAACATAGAAGTTAAATAAAGACGCACTCTTATCACATATGTATTACGCTCTCGCTATGAAGCTTAGGGTAGTCCAGAACTCAATATCCTCCTATTCCCAAGGACTAGGGTTACTAGGCCCAGCCTAAACTATTTCACTTACAGAAAATTTTCATTTACATTTATCAACAGAGACGACTCTCACTTTATGCTTGTCATTTTTAGTGGGTTTTTTTCTACACCATAGTTTATTATTTATGCTAAAGGCAGTAATATTCACAACAAAAGCTGTTATTTACTGCTAAGCACCAGATGTAGTCCACTAGTCTGGTATAGCTGGCCCGTTTACAACAATGTCATCTTTTCTAACCTTTTCTGTGCAGAGTATTTTAGAAATGGTGTCTGTTACTGAGGATCTATTACTTTCATCTTATAGGTAAAAACAAAACAAAACAAAAGACCCTCAAAGATGAGAGTGACTCATGAAGACCACATTTAGTGCTCTTCTGCAGTTCCGGCTAGTTGTGTCCTAAGGCAGTGGTTCTTAACTTCCTAATGCTGTGGCCTCCTACATTTCCAAAAATGTCCCAACCTACAGTTTGAGAACCATTATTCGAAGGGCACAACTCATTCCTTAACCATCAATTTTTCAGTCAAAGACAATGCAGATTCAACCAAGACACTACTCTATAGTATAAACTAGCGTGCACCAGTAAGGACCTTAAAAGTCAAAGTTTTCATGAAGCAAAGAGGATTTTTAAGATCAGATATGAGTATCAGCAGGTTAGTAATTTATGGTAATATTTTCAAAATTTATAAGAGCACACTGAACACAACTGCCTAAAGAAGAACTAGTTACCTTTTTTTGTAATCTAATAACAGATGTCCATTTTTTTTCCAAAAGACCAGCATACTTCTTATCTAATTCTTCATTCTGGAGGAGAAAAAGTAAGATCTTTTTATAAAAATGGGTTATCCATATTTTAAGCCTAAATATTACTAAATATTTGATTATACAAAAAAGTGGGGAAATTAAGTTAAATCCTAAGTAAATCACAGTAACAAATGACAAAATTTGAATAGCTGAAATGGCCTAACTACTGAAACTTAACATTCACTCATTAACTATATTATGAATAACTAAGACTGTTAATTATAAAGTCAAGCATACCATATCTAATTCAGCTTCCTTTTTAAAAACAGAATATGCCTCTTCATAGCCATTTGAACGAAGATAATCTGCTATAGCTCGATTTCTGAAAGAAAACAAATTCAAATGAGTCCTAAATATACCTCACTTCTATTTGAGGAACAACACTTATTAAAATCTTTTATTTCTTATTTTTTTTGGGGGGAGGGAGTGTGTTCAAGACAGAGTTTCTCTGTGTACCCCTGGTTGCCCTAAAATCCACTATATAGACCAAACATGCTAGCCTCAAATTCAGACACCCACCTGCCTTTGTCTCCTGAGTGCTGGACTTAAAGGTGTGTGTCACCACTGCTCAGCTATTAAAATCTATTTAAGGACTGGAGAGTTGGCTCAGAGGTTAAGAACACTGGCTGCTCTTCCAGAGGCCCTGAATTCAATTCCCAGCAACCACATGGTGGTTCATAACCATGTATAATGAGATCTGGTGCCCTCTCCTGGCATGCAGGTGTACATGCAGGCAGAACACTGTATATATAATAACTCTTTTTTTAAATATCTACCTAAGAGTACTAAATTTATGAATATCTCTGAAAATAAAATGGACAAACTTTCAGAGGATCGAAAACATTTAGCCACTGTCACAATTTATCTGTATTATTTTGAGCATCTTTTCATTTTTCTTTTTTTCAGAGATGCCAGGGACTGAACCCAAAACATTATATATGCTAGGCAAGTGACCTACCTCTGAGGTACATTCCCAGCCTTTGACACTTCATAAGTTTCTAACTTATGGCTTAGCTTATAAATTGCAGGTACTCCACAGCTCTAGGTTTGTTTTGTTTGAGACAGGGTCTTTGTGTAGCGTTGGGTGTCCTGGACTTGCTTTATAGAGTAAGCTGGCCTCGAACTCAAGAGATCTGGCTGCCTCTACTTCCCAAATGCTGGGATCAAAGGCATGCACCACCACCACCCAGCTAGACACCTAGGTATCAATCGGCAAAAGTGACCATCAGTTTTGCTAGTGTTGACATTCACCTTCTCCTACTATTTATATACATACTCAAACATTTTAGGTACACTGGTGTTTTGCCTGCATATATGCCCCTGGAACTGGAGTTACAGACAGTTCTGAGCTGCCATGTGTGTGCTAAGATTTGAACCCAGGTCCTCTGGAAGAACAGTCCATGCTTTTAACCTCTGAGCCATCTCTCCAGCCCTAAAACTGAGTTCTGCATAAAAATGTTTTTGATAAAAAGGACTATGGAGACATGTCTCAGTGGCTAGCAGTGTTTTTGCTCTGCAAGCATGAGGATTGGAGTATGTCCCAGCACTCTTGTAAATGGCTAAGTGTCCTGTGCCAAGTCTGTAGACCTAGTACAAGATAGGTGGAGACAGGAGGCTCTCAAGGGGCTGGTGAAATGGCTCAGAGGTTAAGAGCACTGGCTGTTCTTCCAAAGACTCTGAGTTCAATTCCCAGCAACCACATGGTGGCTCACAGCCATCTATAAAGAGATATTATGCCCTCTTCTGAGGTACAGATAGAATATATAAAAATAATAAATAAATCTTAAGAAAACAAACAAACAAACAAACAAAAAAAAAACCCACAGTGCTGGGGAGATGACTGGCTGCTCTTCCAGAGGACCTGGGTTCCATTCTCAACCAATCCTAACTCCAGTTCCAAGAAATCCAAAGCTCTCTTCTGGCTTCCCAGGGCATGCCAAGCATACATGTGATATACAGACATACATGAAGGCAAAAAACCTTATACACATGTAAAATACAAATAAATGTAAAACGCAGTAGAAAAATCAGAGTCCACATTGTACGTAGTAAAAGCAATTATATAACTTATTACACAAGTAACTTCTTTCAATTATTTTACAAATGTGTTTGAACTAGTTCTAGATGTTCTGCCTATACAATTTAAGTCTTTTGTTCTGAGACAGGTCTTGTTACATTGCCCGATTTGGCCTGCCACTATGCTACAAGTCTGGCCTCTTATTTCTGACAATCCTTCTTTTTAAATCCTATTAATAGACAGGTCAGAAAGTAGAAGTGTGTGGTCAAGCCTGATGATTTAACCTCGGCCCTGGAACCCAGAAAGAGAACTAACCCTTGCAAGCTGCCTACCTCTCTATACCACAAACATACATATACACACAATATTAAATTTTTAAAAATTTAGTTTACTAGCAGGTAATATTTAAAGTGAGAATATAATACCAGACCACAGTGGCACATACCTGTTGTCCCAGCACTCAGGGAAGCAGAGGCAGGTGGATCTCTGTGAGTTCGAGGCCAGCCTCGTCTACAAACTGAGTCCAGGACTACCAAGGCTACATAGAAAAACCCTGTCTTTAAAAAAGAAAACAAACAAACAAAACCCCAAAACCCCAAAACAAGAACCTAAATACGGGGCATTGACCAACCTTCTTCATTTGATTTTTGTCCCACTTTCTAGGACCCACATCATGCAGCTCACATATGCTTTTAACTCTAGCTCAAAAGGTATGATACTATGGTTGGTTTCATCAAGATCGGCCCCACAGACTTGCTGTCCTTCCACAGAATGTAGGTTCCATTCCTAGGTTCCCAGCAACCACATGGTAGCTCACAACTGTCTGTAACTTTACTTCCTGGAGACCTAGATGCTTCTGTCTGGCCTTCAATGGGTAGTAGGTGTATACACACAGTACATAGCAAACAACATCCATGTACATAAAATATAAATAACTGAAAACACATATCAAAACCTAAGCAGACCTCCAATAATACAAAAGTACATATACACAGGGCTATTCATTATAACATTACTTTTAATGTCCCGAACATGGCTGACTGGTTAAAAAAAACTAAGATGAATATATACAGTAGAATATTATGTGCTCACATCAACACACACACACAGATGCATACATACACACTAGGAAGATCTCTGTGGACTGATATGAAGTAGCTCTACAATATGTTAAGTGAAAAAAAGGAAGTCTAAAACAGCACATACATAGAAGGGGCTGAAGAGGTGCTTAGTGGTTTTAAGTATATACTGCTTTTGCAGAAAATGGGAGTCCAGTCCCCAGCACCCCCTTGGAAGGCTATCAAATTGCCCACAACTCCAGCTCCAAGGAACCCCAATACCTCTGGCTTCTGTGGGTACTTGCACTCACATTCACATCCCACACAGAAACACTTACGCATATATGTAACTAAAACATTTTTAGTAGCACTTATAAGACAAGTCTAGTGGGTCACACCTGTGCTCAAAGGCCTTTTCAGGTCTTATGTGATGCTTCATTGAGCTCAGATCATGGCTTCATGCATACTAAGTAAGCACTCTACAAACAGCTGCTTCCCCAGCCAAAGAACAGCACTTTAAAGTTTATCTGTATATGTACATTTTTAAAGGTGTGTTTTATTATTCGTGTGTGTGTGTGTGTGTGTGTGTGTGTGTGTGTGTGTGTAAAAAGAAGAGAAGAAAGGGAAGCTACTTAGGGGAGCAACACAGAACATGAGGAGGAGGTAGTTTTGCCAGGAGTTTTTCAGAGAGCAGTTAGACACAGGTGAAGAGAACGAGCCAGAGAATGAAAAGGAGCCAGAATATTACAACACATCGCTGAATTTAATTTGAGGCCAAGCAAAGCAATTCAGAAGCGAAGAGGGAAAGCAGACTGAGTAAGTTAGCTGGGAGAGGAGTTTGAACGAGAACACTTGAGTTGAACCAGCCAGCCCAGAGTTCAGTAAAAAATAAGGGGCTGGAGAGATGGCACATGCATTCATGGGCACCTTACACATGCACCTAATTCTTTTTAAAGAAAAAAAGGGGCAGAGGGAGTAAAATAACTCAGCAAATAGAAGCAATTACCTCACAAGCCTGATGACCTGAGTTTGATTCTTTGACTATATATCAAAATGGAAATGGAAATAACTAACTCTACAAAGTTGTCTTCCAGGCTCCATATATCATATCATATCTCACTCCCCCTCATTCACTCACTCATGTCATAATAAACTTAAAAAAAGAAAAAAGAAATTGAAGAGGTGAAAAAAATGGTGTAGTGGTTAAAAGCACTTGATGTCCTTGCGAATGGCCTTAATTTGGTTCCCAGCAAAAGCACATGGTAGGCTCACAAACATCCATATCTCCCATTCCTGGTGATCTAATGCCCTTTTTGACCTGCGTGAAGATCAGGAATAACCTGGTTCACATACTGACATGTGAGCAAAACACTCATACAAATAATCTTAAAAAAAAAGAAAGGAAAAATAAGTCTTTCAAAAAATATTGGAGGTCAAAAAAAGGTAAAAGAAATGTCCCAGAAAAGAACATGAACCTAAGGAGACATGAAAAATAAATGCAACACGTGGATTTTGAACTTGCAGGCATGGCTGAGTTAAAAGTGGAGTGTGGAAAATAAATTAAAGCACTTATTAATGTTAAATCTATTGAACTGCAGACTGTACTGTCTTATAGAAGAATGCTTTTGTTCTTATGAATTGAATATTGGGGTATCTGAGGCAAAAACTTTGACACATACAACTCAGTCTCAAACAAGAAAGCTATGTGCACATATGCACACATTTCTGTTGAGTGCATGTGATGAGACTTACGACACATGTTAACAATACAAAAAAATGGTAGACGTGCCTAAACAGCCTCAGTACTGCTATCATACCCTTACTTTTCCTAAGTTGCTCCTTCCCAGTTCATCAACCAGTGGCTGCATTGTTAAAGAAAAGGACAACCATTCCTCCAGCAATCACTACAGTCAATAGCTTATCAAGAAGGGGTAAATGAGTATTATTCCTTTTGTTTGTTTATTTTAAAGATTTATTTTTATATATAGGAGTGCTCTATCTGCATGTACACCTGCATGCCAGTAGAGGGCACCAGATCTCATTACAGATGGTTGTGAGCCACTATGTGGTTGCTGGGAACTGAACTCAGGACCTCTGGAACAGCGACCAGTGCTCTGAACCTCTGAACCATCTCTCCAGTCCAGAAGTATTATTCTTGTACGTAGATTTGAAATTAGTTCCAAAGAAAATATTATGAAAATTCAAAGACGTCAAGGCATGGTGTTCCATGCCTATAAGCTCAGTACTCAGAAGCTTGAAGCAAGAGGATTACCATAAGTCAAGACCAGCCTCATCTACCCAAAAAATTCCAAGCCAGGGTAAGCTACAATGTCAGCCTCCTTCTCAGAAAATAAACAAAAATCATAGGAAAAATCTAAAGTCTAGAACACACATATTTATTATGTATACAATGTTCTGCCTCATGTGTGTCTGCGTGCTAGAACAGGGCACCAGATCTCATCCTAGAAGGTTGTGAGCCACCACATGGTTGCTGGGAATTGAACTCAGGACCTCTGGAAGAGCAGCCAATGCTCTTTTAACTCCTGAGCCACCTCTCCAGGGCCCAGGAGTTCATTTTCTATAACATGAATCTGAGCTTTAAACAAACATGGAAGCCTGGGAGATAGCTCGGTGGGCAAACTGCTCACCATTCAAGGGTGAGGATCTAAGTTCAGATTCCTCACAATTACATAAAAGACCTAGATTTAGTGGTGCTATGATTCCCTGCCAGCCAGCCTTGCCAAATCAGCAAGCTTATTCAGTAACAGATACAGATAAATTTATTTATCTCAATAAATAAAACTGTAGAATAACAGTGATAACTGCAGAATAACAGTATGAACCCTCATACATGCACACATATGTATATATGCATACACCATATAATTACATAAAATTAGTATATATTTTTTTGGAAACACTGTAGCTCTGGATGGCCTGAAACTCACTGTGTAGACCAAGCTGGCCTTGAATTCAGAGACCTACCTGTGCCTGCTGCTTGAATGCTAGAACTACACCACCACACTTGGTATAATTAACTTTTTTTAATTAGAAGAGCTACCTGCAGCAGCACTTATCTTCCTGTTGAGTATATTAAAGAGATTTTTAAAGAGATAAAACTTAACAACTAATCTTACTCATTTTGCTTTAAACTCAAAGGTGACAGAATTCCATGCTAAAAGAAGGCCCAAATTTGAAGCCAAGACAAACTGTTAACACTAAAATAGCAGACACTCATAAAAATACTTTAAACTTAAGACAGACTTCCCAGGGCTGCATTTTAACACTTTCTCTCCCGCCCCATCTCCTTCCTCATCTCCCTTCCTTTTGTGTCAGGTAGCCCAGGGCTGGCCTTGAACTTCCAAAGTAGCCTTTACCACCCTATGTACAATCAATCATGCCTAGTTTATTATTCTAAGAGGTTTATAAATAGCAGAAAACAGAAACTTACAGTTCATCTCGTTGTCTCTGGGACAGCACCATTTTGGCTGTAATGTCAAGCTTATTTGATATAGTGGTATGTCCCTCCAGAAAAATCAAGTTTTGAGATCCCTGGATTTGAATTAAATATGCCACTAAGTGGCTTCCTCAGAGAGAAAAATGATTCTTTTTCAAGTGAATCCAATCAGTAACCAGGAAACAGTCAACAAGTAAGGTTCATTCCACCTAAAGAGAAAGAAAACAATAGAATTATTTCCCTCATTTAAAATTTGTATTCTTTCTAAACTGTTAATTGTAGAAAATGCTTGCAAAATGATTATGATGCTAAAATTCACGTTAAATGACAGTCAACCTACAGTTTAAAGGAAAAATCAGTCACTGCCAAAATAAGTTCCTCTCTCAAAAACCATAAACTGCTATGTGGACCAGACATCCTCCTGCCCCGAGTGTGCTTCCATTTCAGACCCAGAGAGCACCCCCAAACCCAACCACTTATGTAGTTAAAATCACCTTCAATGGTCTAATGACGCAAAATGGTACTTTTGCTGCTGTTTTTGAGATAGGGTCTAACTAACTAGGTAGGCCTGGCTGCCTAAGACTCTTGACAATCCTTTTACCTCAGCTTCTAGTGCTAGGTTTACAAGCATGTACAAACAACATTAATATTAAGTTTAACATATTTACCTGTTTAATTCCAATGATTACTATATAGGTACTCTAGAAAAGTCCAACTGTGCTTAAAGGTAAACTTTTTGTTTTATTTTATTTTTGGAGTCAGTGAGTGGGCCCTGGTGGGACTCCACCAATAGCAGTCCTCCCCTAGAGGATGGAGCAGAAAACCAGTTTTACAATCTACACTAGGGTCACTGGGTGTGGTGACACATGGCTGTGATTCCAGCACTCAAAGAGGCACAGGCAGAGGGAGCTCTGCGAGTTTGAGGCCAGCCTAGTCTAAAAAGCAAGTCCAGGACAGCTGAGGCTACAAACAGAGAAACCCTGTCTCAAAAAAAAAAAAAAGCAAAAAGAAACAATTCAGTCTAGGGTCAGGAAGAGTCACAGACATGTTTTTCAGAAAAATCACTTAAGAGTGAATGGACATAAAGGAAATATGCACTAATGAGATGGACAGCTCAGTGGTAAAGGCTCTTAACTATCAAGCCTAGCAACCTAAATCCCTGGAAGCCACACAGTGGAAGGGAATCAATTTCTGCAAGTTTTCTGATCTCCAGAGGTAAGTACACACACAAACACCCAATCAATAACTTTAACTAAAATATAAGATTAGATCTGGAGTTAAACTGCTTACCTAACTTAGACAAGGCTCTGGATTCAATGGGAGACAGGAAGAGAAGCGGGAAAGGGAAGAATGTATAGCAAGTGTATGTGCTCAAGTGACAGGGCATATGAGGAAGCAAGCCAGTCTATTTGAGTGACAATGTGAATACGGAGGGTTTAAAAGACAGTGTACATTAGGTACAGTGTGCATCTATTTGAGTAAATATATATAAGTGAGTATGGAGTGCCTATGTGTGTGCATATGGAAGAAAGTATGGGCGGGGCAGAGAAATGGCTTAGTGGTTACAGCACTGTCTGCTCTTCCAAAAGGACCCAGGGTTTGATTCCCAGGACCCACATGGCAGCTCACAGCTCTCTTTAACACCCTTTCCAAGGGATCTGACACCTTCACACTCATGCATGTAAAATAAAAATTAAATCAATTCTTTAAAAGAAAAAGTATGGGCATTGTAGAGTTAAGTACAACTAAGGCTGAGAAAAAGCAATGGAAGTAAAAATACAGGTGTACCACAGAGACCAAAGAAGCATTTTTGAGAAGAGGCAATTGATAGCATCCAAAGTTACTACATATGAAACAACAGGTCGGCTGCATTCAGCACAGTCCACTGATAGCCTTGATGAAAATGGTTTTGGTGGAATGTTAAAAAATGGCGAAACATGCAACAGTATTAATTATTAAACAACAACAACACTTTTTTTTGAAACAGTAGGTATCCCAAGCCTTTAATCCCAGCACTTGGGAGGCAGGGGCAGGTGGATCTCTGTGAGTTCTAGACCAGCCTATTCTACAAAGCAAGTCAGGACAGCCAGGGCTCTTACACAGAAAAACTCTGTCTGGGAGTGGGGTAGAGGCAGGGGTTGGAGGGAGAAACAGTAGGTATCATGTTACAGCCTAGGCTGGCATAGAATTCAAGGCATTCCTCCTGCCTCAGCCTACCAGGTACTGGATTACAGGACTGAATCACCAAGTCTGGCTAGAAAACAATATTTAAATGGAAAAGAAAGAGTAGAGATGAAGGCTGGAGAGATAGCTCAGAGGTTAAAGAACACTTGCTGTTCTTCCAAAGGTCTTGCGTTCAATCCCCAGCAACCACATGGTGGCTCACACCATCTACAGTAAGATCTGGTGTGCAGGAAGAATATTATATAACTAATAAATAAATCTTTAAAAAAAAAAAAAAGAGTGCAGATGATACCATAACTTTCATAGGTAAATATAAGCATTTGTTTTACTCTGCCAGATGAGATGCTTAAAATGTTAATGGAAAAGACACAAAAGAAATAAGAAAATTATAAAGGTTGTTTTTTTTTTTTTTTTTGTTTTTCCAAGACAGATTTCTCTGAGTAGTCCTGGCTATTCTAGAACTCACTCTGTAGACCAGGCTGGCCTCACAGAGGTGTGTATGCCTCTGGGGCCCCAGTGCTGAGATTAAGGGAGTACACTACCACAGCCTGGCTAGTTATAAAGAATTCTGATACCATTATAAGCAAAATGCTCCCAGTTTTAACTGTAGATACTATAAACAAGTGCTATTACAATAACAAATAGGACGTACAACTATACCTTTTATGCTAGTATTTTATATAGGTGTGTACACTGAAATATTATTTCCATAAAATCAATCTGATCAAGTCTCTGACTAACTATCAATTTGCAGTAAGTAGAGGACAGAGGACATGTAAGAGCACATGGGGCCACAGAAAACAAATTATTGAGTTTCTTTAAGGAAAGAAACAGAAAAGGAACCTATGTGGATTCAAAGACAAGTAGCTGTGTATCGCAGTTCGAACCTCCAATCACAGTATTCAAGAAATTAAGAAAAGAATATCTTCACTAAGCCGGGTGTAGTGGTGCAGGCCCTTAATCCCAGCACTCAGGGAGGCAGAGGCAGGCAGATCTCTGTGAGTTTGAGGCCAGCCTGGTCTACAGAGGGAGTCCAGGACAGCCAGGGTTACACAGAAAACCCTGTCCCAAAAAACAAGACAGACAAAAAAAAGAGGCATTGACCAATTGCAATTTATGAACCATGTTTAGATCTAAATCCAAACAAACTATAAAACAATGAGCAGACACTTGGAAAAATCTAAATATTGATTAGAAACCTGACTATTAAAGCATTACAAAATTCACTAACTATTCTTAGTTTTGCCTATAGTCAGTTATTTTCCATATAAAGCCTTTTAAAAGTAGAAAGTGGAGCTGGGAATGTGTAGTGAGAGTTTTTGGTTTCTTTTTGTTTTGTTTTTGTTTTTCAAGATAGGGTTTCTCTGTGTAGCCATCTGTCCTAGAACTCAATCTGTCCCTTCCCCCACCCTAGGACAGGGTTTCTGTGTAGCCCTGGCTGTCCTGCACTCATTTTGTAGACCAGGTTGGCCTCAAACTCAAAGCAATCTGTCTGCCTCTTCCTCCTGAGTGCTGGGATTAAAGGTGTGCACCAGCATACCCAGCCAAGCGTAATCTATTAAATCCACTATTTTTCAAGTTTTTATTATTTTATGTGTATGACTATTTTCCCATAAATGTTTGTATGCATTATCATGTGCTTGTCTGGTGCCAGAGGTCAGAAATGGGTGTCAGATGCCCTGGGATTGGAGCTAGACAGTTGTAAGCCAACACGTGGGTTCTGGGAATCATGGGTTTTATGAATCAAACTTAGGTCCTATGCAGAAGCAAATAGTGCTCTTAACAGCTGAGCCAACTCCCCAGGCCTAAGTCCATTATTTCTTGACTTACTGGAATTCTATGATAGAAAAAAAAAAAAAAAAAACCAAATAACATAAAAACTACTATACTACATTTTACTGTTACACTGTAGCATAACTTTCAAACTGGTAAGTCTATTACTGAAAGCTGTCATGGAAGAACTCATACTTCTAACAGTTTATGTAAATAAAGTAGTAATTCTTTAGAAAGCACTACAGAGAAAGTTTAAATGCTATTTATGCTGTTTTCTCAAACTAATTTTGCTGAAGTTAACTATTTAAATCCAAACCATAACTGTTTATCATAACTACCTAAGGAACTCTGAAAATAGGCTTTATTCTCAAAAATTCAGCAAAAGACATATAAATTTTAATTTTATTTAATAGATAAAACAATCTATATTACTTTGATGCATAAAGAGCCAGAGTGGCTGGGTGTGGTGGTGCACACCTTTAATCCTAGCACTTAGGTATCAGAGGCAGGTGGCTGAGTTTGAGGCCAGCCTAGTCTACAAAGAGAATTCCGGGGCAGCTGATACAGAGTAGATAGATAGATAAGTAGGAAGGAAGGAAGGAGAGAGAAAGACAGACAGAAAGGAAAAAAGGAAAAAGGTTACATCCAACCCAGCTCCAAGTAGCTGAACTTTGATGAATCTAACTGCTGGATTTTAGAATTTGTTTGTCTGAATTTTAAAAAAGAGAATAAAGTGATTTAGTGTATCTTTGCTTTCTGAAAGCATATTAAATTTTAGTCTTGGTTTTACTATGATGTGTAGGATTTAGGGACCACTACGTGCCTATTTTTATGCTAATGACCGTGAACTTATTTTAGAGGCACAATGAAAATATGTCCGAGTTGCTGCTTTGGAGCAGTGTTGAGATACTACAGCATATAACTACAGTGCAGTGAGACATCTTAAGTGTGTGTATCCACGACAGCCAGAGCAGCCTAGAGAAACCCTGTCTTGAAGCAAACAAAACCACTATATTTGTCTACTGTGTTTGTGTGTGTACACACCACACCACAGCACATATACGGAGGTTAGAGGACCACTTGCTGAGTCTGTTCTTTCTTTTCATCCTGTAGGTGTATTAATTGATGGTGCTAAGGATCAATCAAGGCCTTGTATACACTAGGTGAACACTCTACACAACTATACCAGTCACATAATATTTTCTGACATTGATGATTTCTTTTTCTTTTTGTAATTTTGCTTTTGATCTTTTAATACTGGCTATCCTTTGTACTGAAGTAGGAGGATCATAGGAGTTCTGTGCACGCATTGGGTACAATAGTGAGATCTTAGATAAACAGGCTGCTTTTGTCTTAAAATGACATACAAAACTATCAGTATATAAACTAATATATACTTTATATATCTAAACGTATAAAATAACATGAAGAGGAAATGTGTACAAGCACAGATGACACAAAATCTGCTATGACTTTGTAATTGTTAAACCTGGTGCATGAAGTTTCAGACTTACAGATAGAACTACATATTTTTGGAAGTTGCCACAAATAAAAGGTAAAATAACACTTATAAATACTTCATTCATCCATTCATCTCTTCATTCATTCATTTATTTGGGTTCCTCTGTGTAGCCCTGGCTATCCTGGAACAGTCTGCTCTGTAGACCAGGCTGGCCTTGAACTCACAGAGACCTGCCTGCTTCTGCCTCCTAAGTGCTGAAATTAAAGGCATGCACCACCCTGTTTGACTCAAACATGATTTTTTTTTTTTCTTTAACAAATGCAGCTTGACTTTATTGCAGGAAAGCGGGCAGGGAGCCAGCAAAAGGGGGGAGGGGTTCTGTCTGGGCAGAAATTCCATGGCTGAAATTTTGATTTTTATCAAGACAGGGTTTCTCTGTGTAGCTCAGGCTGGCCTTCAATCCACCTGCCTTTGCCTCCCTGAGTGCTGGGATTATAGGCGTGCACCAACACAACCAGCTTTATAAACATGATTTAAAAAAAAAAAAAAAAAAAGGTTGGTTTTGTGCATGTTTGCACAAGAGAAGGGCCTGGTAGTTGATGATGACAAACCTTGGGCTAGGATAGAAGCAATGGGAACGATCTGAATGAGCATCGTGGCCAAAGTGCAATTAGATGAAGAAGGTCATTTTTGTTTAAAACAGTCTACTACTACCTGCTCTTAGACTTCAAGATGGTCTTTTGCTGTGTATTCATTCATGCGTAAGACTGAAGCTGATGTTAGGCATCTATAGCTTTCTACCTTAAGAGTTTTAATTAAGGTCTCCCATGGGCCCAGAGTTTACCAACTGGCTGACCAGTGAGCTCCCAGGATGGGCATTCCTCTGCCCCACCCCAAGAACTGGGTTTTATGTGGGGATCCAAACTCCAGTTGTCATGCTTATGTCACAAGAAGCCCTTTAGGCACTGGGCTGTGTCCCCAACCCCAAGGATGGTTTCCTCTACAGTATTAGCTAGGTCCTAAATTTAGGCAGATCTCATTTTCTATTAGACAGAAACTGCTCATTATAATTCTAATTTATTATTACCTGTACTAACGTTTGTCTCCATTTGTACAAATAACTTAGATATAGGGCGGCCAGATGGCTCTACAGGTAAAGGTGCTTACCCTCAAGCCTGGCGATCTGTATTCCATGCATCCCACAGAGTGGAAGGGGAAATCCAACTCCTCAAAATTGTTCTCTGACCTCCATACATGAGCTTTGGCACAGATGCGAGTGCACACACACAAACACAAAATGTAAAGAAGAATTAAGCAATGTTGAGACAGTCTCTACCCTTTAGAAACTTACAAAATAGCTGAAGACATGAGCTAAATGGATTTATTTATTATCTACCTTGCTAGGCTCTATACTGTAACATATATGAAGATTAATAAGATACAATCCACTAAAGGAACACACAACCCAGTTAAAAACTAGAAGGAGAAGTAAGAATGGGAAAGAGAAGGTAAAAACACTAACAAAACTGTTTTTCTAACTTACCAAGTCAGCATTATAAACTACAATAAAAGATTTAAAAGAGACAGAATTGAGCTGAAGAGATGGCTCAGTGGTTAAGAGCGCTGTCTACTCTTCCTAAGGGACCCGAATTCAACTCCCAGCAGCCACATGGCAACTCACAACTGTCCATAAGCAGTTCTAGGTGGTCTGGAACTCATGCCAATGCACATAAAATAAAATTAAATAAATTATTTTTTAATTTATTATTATTATTATTAGTTACATTTTACTAACTCTGTATCCCGCTTCCTTATTATTTTTTTAAAATAAGATAAAATTGACAATTCTCTGAAGCAGGTTTTGAAAGAAGAAATAATATGAAAAATATTCAAGTACAAATTTGAGTAGTTAGGAAATAAAATATCAATACAAAGGCTAACAGCTTCAAACAGCAATCACCAATAAGAGTTATCTATACTCTAGACTCCTGAGGTTCAGCAGTGACAAAGACATGTCAAAGAAAACAAAACTTATTTCTAAATAAAGGTGAATTGTGGTTGGGAAAGAGGCAAAACAGCATTTATTACTGGTAAAATCCGCAGCAGTAAAGAAGGGTGCTGTAGAGCACACCTGTGATTGGCAGCACGTGGAGGCAGAGACCAGACTTTGAACTGGGCTATCCAGCAAACAAGTCAACAAAACAAAAAACCTCCTGCACTTATTTTATTCTGAAAACTGAGTCTTGGTTTTGGGAACTGTATTCTGTCAAAGGAATATACAGGCAGCATAAAGTTTTTCTGAGTCTCTCTGCTAATAACTATACTGAAAACTCTGGAGGCATCCTGCACCAGGCAAGGATGGCACAAATATTTAATCAATCCCAGCCCTCCAGAGGCAGAGGTAGTTGGATCTCTGCAAATTCAATGCCATCCTGGTCTAGCATCAAGTTCCAGGACAGTCAGGGCAACACAGTGAGGAAAGAATATTAATTTTAAACGCTTCTGCCTAAAACCTTTCTAGAACCTGGGGAATATCTGGCATTTGCACAGAACTCCATGACTTATACAGTTTTTTGTCTTGTTAATAATCATTCAATCATTCAACTGCACTGTGGGGCAGTCTTTAATAACCTGAACACACACACACAAAATGGTATAAATTACAAACTAGTATCTATAGAAAACAATACAAATTCTGTTTTTATTATTATTAAAACAGTCTTATTGTGTAGACTCTGAACATAGTCTTCCTTATCCTTAGTACTAAGATTAAAGGCACGAACCTCCAAGCCCAGCCTTGTTTATATGGCAATAATGTAATCTTGCTAAAGCTTTCTCTAATTTTTTAGGATGATCTAAAAGGAGACCAAGAAAAGCATATAATTGTAAATATAGCTTAAAACCTTTTTAGCTACATAAGGCCAAAAAAAAAAAAAAAAAATTTACAAACTTAGTCTAACCTGAAGACAGCCAGCACGCAACCTCTAGCTAAGTCCTTGAATAAACTCAAGTTGTTTTCATGGTCAAGGAAATGGGGAAAAAGGAAAAAGTTCAGGGATTTGTGGTCTAAAGTTGATGGTGCTAACAATATTATTTTCTTTATTAAATCCAAATCATGAAAATTATCAAGAGAAGAACATTTTCATTAACCTAAGGATGAACTTGCATGCAAAAATACACTATCTCATCTGTAAATATCTTACTCATATTCACAGCAGCCTTGTAACAGTGCAATGTAATAAACAGTCTACCTAGAAAATATTCTACTAGATTAAAAAAAAAAAAACAGGGAAGAATATATGGCATAACATTCACATAAAGCCTAAAAATATACAAAGTATTACTCACATACTTTACTGATACGCACTTAAGTATAAAAGCGTAGGACCAGCACTAGTGAGATGGCTCAGAAGATAAAAGGAGCTCATCACCAACCCGAGCCCTAATTCCAGCCTTGGCTGTCCCGGCTTTGTACAGCAGGCTGGCCCTGAAATCACAGCAAGCCTGTGCGGCTACCACTCAAGTGCTGGGATTAAAGGCCTGGAGTAAGCACGTCCCTCTTATTTACAACCGCAGCCTTAGCAGGCTGAGGCAAGAGGACTGCTGTCGTGCAGCAGTTGACACTAGACTCGACCACAACCCAAGACCCTGCCTCACCATACACATGCCGGGGCATGGCTTTAATCTCAGCACTCAGGAGGCAGACAGTTCCCTGAGTTCCTGGACAAGCAATGATAGATGCATAGTAAGGACTGTTTCAAGGCACACCTCCAATAAAACCCCAAGATCCTGCTTAAAAAACAAAAAACTATAATAATTACATTAACAACTATATGGTTAAACTATATAGTAGAGTAATTCTGTTTAAAAAAAAAGCCAGGCACACTGGCACGATCCTTCTATCCTAGGAAGGCAGAGGCAAGTGAATCTCTGTGAGTCCGGGATCAGCCTGGTTTACGAAGGGAATTCCAGGATACCTAGGGCTGTCTAAAAAAAGACAACAAAAAGAGTCCCTGCTAATTAAAAGACCCCAACAATCTGTGAGTTAAGTACTGCCAGCCATTTATAATCATTTATAAATAAGGAAACTAAGATTGTTGCCCAAGATCTACACAAGCTAGCTAGTAAACTAATTAAAGTAAGCTTAAGATAACCAGGCTGGGCATGGTGGCCCATGCCTGTGATCCCAGCACTGGAGGAGGCAGAGGCAGGTGAATCTGAGTTCAAAAGCAGCTTTGTTCTACAAAGTGCATCCAAGACAGCCAACGATGTACAGAAAAACCCTGTTTCAAAAACCAAAACAAACAAAAAATTAAAGAAAGGAAGAATCTAATCAGGGTTCTGGGGCAGGGGTTGGGGGAGTAGAAAATCTAATACATATAGGTCTGAATTAAAACAACTGTCTAGCAGTTAAGACCCTCAGATTGATACCTGGCACCAAGTATATACTTTACTTAACAGCTTAATTTTCTGTTAACACTGAATGTATAGCTTTTCCATAACCTTCAAAATTAAGGTAACCACTCCAGCCTAGTGACACCAAATCTGTCACCTCATTAGCTCAGGAAACTGAGGCAGGAAAATCCTAAATCTAAAGCCAACTTGGTATATATAGTGAATTCAAGGCCAGTTTGGGTAGCGAAATTCTGTCTAGAAATAAAAAGGGGCCAAGGCCTACAAGATGCTTGGAAAATGAAGCACTTGCCACCAAGCCTGAGAACTTGAATCTAATCCCCACAACCCACAGGATAGAACTGACTCCTACAAGTTAGTTTGATGTCTACATGCATACCATGGTATTCATATACACACACACCCTCACACTATATATATATACACACACACACACATATATACATATATATACACACATATATATATATATACACACACACATACATATGTATAGGTATATGTATATAAACAAGAAGATAAATACATGTAAAAAGAGGGCTGGGAATACATGTATCTCACCAATAGCGCACTGCCTATATATGTAAAGTCCTAGGTCCAATCCCCCAGTACTGGGGGGTGGGGTCAAATTATCCAAGAAATACTAATACCAGTCTCATTCTCACCCTCTTTTTCTGTTTATTTCTGATAGGGTCTTCCTAGGTAGTCTAGTCTAATACAGGCATTCCTATGACTGGAACCAGCATATTTTTGATAAAAATAAAATGCATAAATAAAAGATATCCTTTTGGTTGGGAGTGGTGGCTCATGCATTTAATCCCAGCAGAGGCAGGCACATCTCTTCAAGTTTGAGGCTTGATCTACAAACTGAGTCCAAGCCAGCCAGGGCTCAGTATAAAGAAACCCTGTCTCAAAAAACATAAAAAAAAAACAAAACAAAACAAAAAAAAAAAAACCTCAAGAGAGACAACGCAGAGTCAGAAGTTCAAAGTAACCCTCCACTAGTTGCAGGTCAGTCTAGGCTACCTGAGACCCTGTATTTTAATTTTCAAATTTTTAATTTAAAAGCCAGGGGTGGGCAGTGGTGGCACTCGCCTTTATTTCTAGCACTCAGTAAGCAAAGGTAGGCAGATCTCTATGAATTTGAGTCCAGCCTGGTCTACAGACAGAGTTCCAGGACAACCAAGGATATCCCCGTCACCAAAGTAAGTATTATTAATATTAGTAATATATTTTTAAAAATCAGCAACTTCAACCAGACAGGGTGGTGCTTGAGTCAATCAGGAGACTGAGGCAGGACTTCAAGTACAAGGTGTGGGCCAGGCATACTGACATGCACCTTTAGTACCAGTGCTTGGGAAACACAGGGAAGTGGTCACCTGTGAGTTCAAGACCACCCTGGTCTACATAGTGAGGTCTAGGGTCAGCCAGGGCTACAGAGTGAGTCTCTGTCTTTAAAAAAAAGTTGGGGCTGGAGAGATGGCTCAGAGGTTAAGAGTACTGGCTGGTCTTCCAAACGTCCTGAGTTCAATTCCCAGCAACCACATGGTGGCTCACAACCATCTATAAAGAGATCTGGTGCCCTCTTGCCTGCAGGCACAAAATTGTATAAATAATAAATAAACAAATCCTAACTTCTTTTTTTTTTTTTTTGTTTTTTGTTTTTTGTTTTTCAAGATAGGGTTGCTCTTTGTAGCCCTGGCTATCCTGGGCTAACTCTGTAGACCAGAGTTCAAGGCCCTTATGTACCTAATCATATGCTTTTAACATTGAACTATACTCCCAAGGCCAAATAATTTTAACTTTTGAAAGCACTACAAAAAGTTTCATGTTTGGGCCCCAGCAA